TCCACTTTAATCTGTAGAGTTTTAAATCTGCAGCGCCCTCAAATCTTACAGCTTCTGCCAGGAGAACCTCACTACAGGTAATTTTCCAGTCTAGTTGTACCAGTGTGAACTTTTCCAACAGGAAGTCATGAAATGAATAATCTTCAAGTAAGTGGTGATGTATTTCCTTAGTAGATGAGGATAATGACCTAAATTTTGTCATTTTCTTTTTTTTATTATTCATCTGCTTTATACTCTGAAAGTCGTGTGTACCCAAATAACTTCTAAACAATATGGGTTCTGCTGCCAGAATATATATATGTGTGTGTGTATATACTTTTTTTTTTTCCCATTAAGTATTGTCTCTGCTTGTATGAGAGTCCTCAACAGTTTCTGCGGAAAGTTCTTGCTGACTTTTCACTGAAGACTGACAGTTTTGTGAAATATTTCTAAAAGCACTTCTTCATGTCCTCTTTGGAAGGTCGCTGACATAAATACAATTCCTGTTTTAGGTGTGCAACGAAGCTATTGGAAAGCTGCGTATGAGAATCAAAACTCAAAGGTTCTAAAGTAAAATAAGCTTAGAAAATGTATGTGATCACGTTTAAGCCATATGCTAGCCTACATTTTTAAGTGTTTTTCTTAAATCTCCATCAGACTTATATCCTGCTTAAAAAAAGAAAAAAAAAAATAGGTCATGAAACCATGTTGAGACACCTTGTCAAACTTGTATGGGATTTCTGTTAACTCATGGAATTTTGCTTCAGAAGGTCAGTGTTGAAGTCCTACTTCATTTCATACGGCTGTCTGCTGCCATCTGTCTGCTATGCAGTGGCAAGTCAGTAGTGCACCATTACATTTACATAAGAAATTGCAGCTGTTTTGTGTGCTTCTGAAAAGCTGTTAGATTTCTGATGCACTGTTTACCCCATTTCAAAGTGGTTTCTCTTGATCTGCTTTGGCTCATTATAGGAAAGCAGATTGAAGGGCTGAAAGTTTTGACTGATGTAAACAGATTCAGAATGGCAAATCAGCCCTAAAATCATTGAAAAGTTACAGGTTTTATCCTATCTACTTGAAAATCGTATGCTCCTGATTTTAACTATTCTTTTTTCTTTTCCTCTCTACGTAATGCCATGTTGGATTTTCTTTATAGAATCCAAGAAGAACCGATCTAATGTTCTCTCTGCTTTCTGTCATTCTCACAACTGCCATGGTGATAGCAGTATTCCAATATATTACACAAGATCTCAAAATGCTCATTCATGCCAAGGCCTATGGAGGGCTTTTTTTATATTTTTCTTTTTTTTTTTCTATATTCTTCTTCTTTTTTTGTTCTCTCCATAAAGTCGTCTTAGACTGAAAATTATGGAATTGGAAATGACCCATTTCCTACCAGTTCTGTATGTTAAAGCCTGTTACATCTCATTATCATGACAAAAATTGTAAGAGGAGAAAGAAATGGTACAACGTTAGTTTATTTCTCATAATTTGATTAAACAGACACTGTAAGCAGTATATAAATATTCCATTTTCATTGCAGATCTTAATATTTCAGCCTTCCTTGGGTTTGGTCTTGTAGATTTGAAATTATAGGGCGTAACCAAGTACACAATCAATATGAGGATGGTGAGGCAGTGGAACAGGTCGATGTGATTGATGCACCATCCCTGGAGACTTTCAAGGAGAGGCTGGGTAAGGCCCTGGGCAGCCTCATGTAGCTGTGGTGTCCCTGTTCACTGCATGGCCTTCAGAGGTTCATTCCAACTCTAAGGTTTTTGTGATTCTATGAAGTACTTCATATATCAAATGTCACCTCCATTTCACTATGCTACCATTAAGTAATGATTTTACTATTTCATATTAGACAAATGATAATTTGACAGTTATACACATTTTCAAATTTGTTAATTTCAAACTATAAATTGTCAGTATTCTCTTTAGGTTTTGTTACATAAGATTTTACTGTGTTTTAGCGAAGTCATAGACAAATTAAAAAAAGAAAAAAAATATATTTTATAGGAAATAACTTTGGTATTTTGCAGGAGAATATTAGAGATTTTAATTAATACTGCAAATTACTTAATCTAAAAAAAATGTTACTGAAATAGTGAACATTTGCAAAGCTGCTGCAGAAAGTTAATTACATCATGCTCATTTATTGTCTTTATACCTAAACCATAGACAACTCCTGTAAATTAAAAGCAAAGATATGGTATTGCAGTAATCAGAAAGAATAACAATTGCAGTTTTTGAAACAGGAAAGCAATTTGACAAACTGTGCCTTTTTTTTCTCCTTTAGTCAGACATTTCGTGACAGTGGAACAAATCAGGAGAATATATCTCCTTTTATAAAAAGCTGTTTCTTAATTATTTAAAAAATAATTCTCACAGAGAAGGAGCATTGTGCAGCTTGCACATATGCAAGAACATTTGCAAATCTCTGTGATTAGTGGAGGGTTGTCATTTAAATTGGAAAATAGAGGAACAAATTCTATGTTGTTGGAGCCTGAGAGTAATATGAAGGCATAAAACAAGCATCTTTTTCTGAGTCGTTTTCAAGAATATGTGCTGTTAATTGTAAGAACACATTGCAAAATTTAATATAGAGGCTGTTTTCTGTACTGTCTGGGCTTAGTTCTGATCTTAAAAAGTAAGACTCTACAAACCATGTTTATAGAGGTACCCACGCTGTAATTCTGGCTCAGTATGTATGTTTCAGGAGAATCCTGTGAAAGAAATAACCATTCTATGATTCTATGAAACAATTTCTTTCCTAGTTTGGTGCAGAATGCAATACTACTACCAGGAATGGCTCGAGCAGTCACTTGTGGGCCTTCATTGTTTAAACAGCTGCACAGAAAATTTAACTCAGTATATTTGTGTCCATCATCAGATGATTCAATTTATTTAAGTGGAGAGCGGATGTTACTCAGGCTGAATTGCTGGGGGGGAAGGAGGGGGAAGGAAGTGGAAGTTTCCTAATCAAAATGTGATGCTAAATCATAACACTTACAAAAAAACTTCTTAATCTTATCTTCTGAGGCCACTGTGAAAAAAATTGATGGTTATACTCTGTTTATCTGAGCCACTGAGCTACATAAGTTGTTATACTGTTTTCAGCAGAGACTGGGGATTTTTCCTCCATTCCAAGTATTATGTGGTGAATCTGTTTGTAGATTTGCATTCTGCCTGCTTGGGAGATCTTGCATGTACCATTGTATTTAACATCAGGTGAAAAAAGTCCTCAAGAAGAAATTTCCCAGCGTAGGTGCTTGAAATCAGACCTTATATTGCATGGGCAAAGAGGCCTACGGTCTGCTTTGAAAAACTGCTGAGCAGTTACAGCTACAAAACTTCAATGGTTATTCACAATTATGGAAAGCCTTTAAAAAGACTAGTGTGTGCAGATCTTCAAAGACAAATACTGCTCACCCTAAATTTCAGTTTCCTACTCCAAACCACGGTTTTCCAGAAAGACACTCACAGTTTAAATTAAGAAAGACCAACAGTATTCATCCTGGCTAAGAGACAGTCAAAACCAGTATCTTCATGCTTTTCAAGCTATTACTCTATCAGTTATCAGTCCATTCATCTGTGTTCACAGCCTTAAAAAAAAAAAAAAAAGAAAGAAAGAAAGAAAAAGAGAGAGAGAGAGAGAGAGAAATCTAGAATATAAAGACAAATAGAGGAAGTTGGAAACAGTGCAAGTCCCACGTAAATGGGGAATGTTTGGGTTGTCAGAATGTGAGGAGCAGTTGAGTGAAAACTTTGTGGTAGAACAGTATTTTTTGGTAACAGATAGTAATGTAAGTACATTTCTGACATTTAAAATGGGATTCCTTCCTTCTAGGCACCTTAGCAAATGGATAGACATTTTATGGCAATTTAAATTGACAATTCATGAATTAAACAATTTTATCTGCTGATTATAGTCTTATTTGCATTGAAATGTTATCTCTGAGCAACAGTATTAATTGAGCTAGATGTGGTAGTTAACAATCACTAGCTCCCTAGCAGCAAAATTAGAAAACCCAACTTTACTATGATAAGACAGGATATAGGATGTGTTTGAATAAAAAAATAAAGGAGAAAACATTTCTTATACTTCAAGATGTGTTAGCTAAACTACATTTCTTGCTAACAAATCTGTATTTGTTAAATAAACACGTTTTACCACACAAAACTTAACAACCTTTTTAATTTTGGTGATCCTATAGATTCTGAGGAAATCTTAAGAAACTAAGTTGTCTTGTGAAAACATCAATTTAGAGTAAAAGTATGCTTTAATTTAAGCTTTCCTTACCAGCACTAAAATGACTTAGATAAGGGTGCCCTCTAATGGAGACTGTGGCTATGAAGTCTTGTTAAAGTTTTTTAGATTTGTATAAACTACATAGACCGGATTTTCTTTACAAATCAATATAAGCGGACTTATAAATGGACTTTGAATAAACATCAGCAAGGTAAAGTTAATAACACATATAATTTGAAAAGTAGATACTTTCTCTGAAATAAGTGCTCACTTTCTACATCTTATGCTCACATGAAATCCTTTTTTCAGGGCAGTTTGACACTGAACTACAACAACTGGATTTCTCTCTCAGTTAAAGACAGAAATTATGCAAACATTAGAAATAATGGAGAGAAAACTTAATGAACTTGTGGGTAAAAAAGACTTAGAATAGTTGAAGAAATGCTTATGGTTTTTTTTGTTTGCTTGAGTGTTTTTTCTGGGGGGAAGGGAGGTAGGGGGAATAATCTCTGTCCACATTTATCTTTAATATTAATTCAGTAAAAATTATCTAAAGTTTTTGTCAGAATACAAGTATAGATTTCATGTATGTAAAGTGAATCCAATTTTTCTACTGTGTGTATTTTAGGATTGGAAACTGAGCTAAAAGGTTATACTGATGTGGTTTTGAAATGCTTTTACCATTTTTACTAAATACATATTTATTATTAAGAATGTATTTTTTGTTTTCTTTCTAATCAGAAGTGCGTTTTTACAACAATTTTAAATAACATTTTTCACCTATGTACAACTTCCCAATTTTTTAATATTACACACTCATGGGTGTAACAGCGTATGTTATATGTGGAAATGCAGAAATTTCTTCACATGCACATTTCAGTATGAGGTGACTGGAGGGAAAACATGGTTGTTGGAATGTTGAAAGATGGTGAGGAGGAAGCAGCAAATTAATTAATTCATTACTCACTGTACAATTCTTTGTCTTCAAGCACTCTTTTCTGCTTCTAAGTGCTTGAAGACAAAGACAAAGAAAGTGCTTTTCTTCTTCTAAGTGCAGAGACAAGGCAGCTTAATGAGACATTTAATATGCTTCTTCTAAATATCTTTGTATATTTATCAGTTTGTTTTTGCTTAAATTTGAATGGGCTGTTCTGCAGGAAAAGTCTTAAATGCAGTTTTTTACTGCTATTTGCTTTTCCAGCATTTTTTAGTTTGGTTATTTCCTAGTCACTTTCTAGTTCACTAACAGACTTTGAAAGGTTTTAACACCTCCATTCTTGTTGTCCCCCAGTTCTGTGTCACAAGCCAGATGACACAAGCTATGGAGAAGAACAAAGGAATCACAGAGCCAGCAACACAATACTTTCTACTATTAGTAAGCAGTTTGATGCAACAGCACTTCAGAATGAGCTGAAGCTGGTCCTTTGGTATGTAGGGCTGCAGTAGCAGCACCTCATGACATAGCATTTTTGCCTTTACTACTTCTTCTTAAGTACTGAAACTTTTGGCATGGCTATACTGACTCAACACCATCAAAAAATAAATTGCATTGAATTTGATGCTGAATTCTTAGACCACTGTCCTAGAATGAGTTCACACGTGACAATTCTGCTGTAGGGTGCCATGTGAATGATTTATCCTAACATATAGGAGAAGCCACTGCAAAGAAAAGCTGGGAAAAGATTGATAATGTAATGCCAGAAAGGAATCAAACAGTGTGGTTAGTAAAATGAGATGGCATGACTTTAGAAGAAAAAGGGCAACTGTTGACTAAGACAAAGGTAATATAAGTATGCATTAAGGAATTCCAATGATAAAATTGTTTTTGACTGTTTGTAAGCATTGGGAATTATGCTGATCTTGGCTTATTTTCATTTTGCATCAATCCAGTCCTTGGGAGGAAACTGTCCATTAATGCAAGCATTGTGACTTTAACATGGTCTGATGCCAAGTTGGAAATATGATGCAGGAGACTAGACCTTTTGAAGCCTATTATGAAGTGTCTCATTTTTTATCATGTCCATGAATGAAAAGTTAGAACAGTTATGCACTATATGGTAATACTATTATTTGGCAGCAGGTTTGGGCAAAGTGCAAGTCTGTTCTGTACTTTAAGATGATCTACTGTAAGTAGGAAAGTAGATAAGACTGACTGAAAAGGTCAACATTTCTTTGCTAGGTTTTGGAGAAAATACACGTGTCTAGTTACAAACCATAGCAGCTTCCATTTGGTTTTTACTTTCATTTGACTCATTTATATCAAGATAGGTACAAGACATTTCCTTCCCACAGGATCACAGAATTGCAGGGGTTGGAGGGGACCTCTGGAGATCATTCAGTCCAAGCCTCCTGCTAAAGCAGGATCCCTACAGTAAGTTACAAAAGGGTCCAATATGTTTATATTGTGCACGTTTGTATCCGTGCTTTACTTCTCTAATGGTAGACTTAAAGCAAGTTGTGCACTGCAATATGCATAGGATTGATGAGATTATAAACTGTTTGATCACTGTTTTCCCAGGGGTACAGCCTCTCACTGGGTACCATGCCAGTTGCAGAGGAAGTGACAGAACAAACAGCAGCTGGCCCCTTCATTTATTAGCAATGCTGGGAAGCGAGGTGGGGGAAGCAAGGGAGGACCAGAAGCTGTTGAATTTCTTCTCTCAATTAAATGAATAATGTTCACTGGCCACATTACTAAATAATCTCTTCTCCACTGAAGACTCATTGAAAGACTCGTGACAACTAGGTGCGCTTCTTGGATGCTATCACTTGAAAAGCTTGCAGTTTCTTTTTCAGGTGAATAGAATCTTAAGGATTTGCATCATTTTTTTTTTTTTTTTTTAATTATTTCTTTTGTTGCCTCATTCTCATTTATCTCGTGAACAGTATAAGGCCTCATGCTAAGACAACCTATTAACAACACCAAAAAAAAAGAAAGCATGAAAATGTATATTTATAAGGAGCTTCTCAGTCAAGCTTTCCTGTTGTGATTCTAATGCATGCATGTTATGCAAATTGAAACGTTCTCTATGTGTGATATAACACACTATTCTCATCCATCAATTTTTCATCATGTACACTAGAGAGAAGCCTCATCCTACTTCCACTGTCACGACTGCCCTTCCAAGAAGTGAAGGTCACTGTAAGAGCTGCTGTTTTTTTACCTGTCTGTGCAGTGTGTGCAAACAGGTGAGTCTATTGTTGCCAGATCCAGATTACCATCTCCATCTACGGGCATTCATTACCAAGACAACTAGGCTGGCATCTGGGCTTTCTTTACCTTAACAGTGTGGCCATAAACACCCCAGAGAAGAATCTGCTTGTTGTATAACCACTCCCAAAAATAACTTTATATCCTTACGGGCGAATTCTTGGGCCAACTGTTCTGGTATACAATAAAAGCCCTTAAACATAGACAGCCTTGTTTTTTCATTCATATTTTCTATTACTTACTAGCTACTTCGCTAACTTCAAATTCTCTTTGTTTTCTGTTGATTTACACATGGTGTTTTTTGATATTTAGGAGAAGCTATAATTTCACTCTTGGTGATGTTGTCTCTTTCTGTAGTATAATGGAGGCTTCTGACTTCCGGGCTACACCTCCTTGGCCAATGGTATTTTGAAGGACTCTCCAGTGAGTTACTTTGTTCTTTCTAAATGGGGAATTCAGGGAGAAATCTAACATGGACTTCTTTGTGCCTAGAGACAGAGATTCACCAAGAGAAATCAGAAGGCTGTAGTTACAAGGACAAAACTGGAATTTAAAAAGCAACACAGTGCTGGAGGATGTGTTTAAAACGTGATCACAGGTAACACATTATCCATGTATGTGGGGGTACCTTCTGTTATGTGTCTGTGTACTGCAGAAAGTTAATATGTCCCTGGTAAACTCTGTGTTTCTTAGGTGGTAATGCAGTAGTACTGTGTGTTTGTGTAGCCTCACCTTGAGCACTGGGTGCTGTTTTGGGCACCACAATATAAAAAAGAGATAAAATTATTAGAGAGCAGCCAAAGGATGATTACAAAGATGGTGAAGAGTCTAGAGAGTAAAATGCATGTGGAGTAGCTGAGGTCCCTGGGTTTGTTCATCCCAGAGCAGAGGAGCTGAAGGGAGGCCTCATGGCAGCTGCAGCCCCTTCCAGGGAGCGGAGGGGCAGCGCTGAGCTCTGCTGTGTGTGACAGTGACGGGGCCTGAGGGAACGGCATGGAGCTGTGTCAGGAGAGGGGCAGGTATGTGTTAGGAAAAGGTTCTTCACCATAGGATGGTGGGCGTGGAGCAGCTGCCCAGGGCTGTGGACAGGGCCCCGAGCTGCTGAGGAGTCTTTGGACAATATTGTCAGTATTATGGTTTGATTTTTGGGTGCTCATGTGCGTGACTGTGACTCAGTGATCTTTGTGGGTCCCTTCTAACTAGGGATACTGTGATTCCAAGAAATGTACTGATTATGAAGCAATACCCACGTTGAACACTCGGGGGTGCTGCGACTTTAACTATTGCAATTCACTCTTCAGAAACGGGTTTATTGCGTCTGATGAAGTCTGTCACATACTGATCAGCTATTCCAGTTAGAATCTTTTCTCTTGTATAAAAACACCACATCCATGTGGGAAAGCTTTTGAATGGCCTGTTTTAACATAATATAACAAATGACTTATTTTAGTATTCTGTGTTCTAAGTAAATACATTGGTTCTGTGAAGTGCGGTAATTTTTAAATGCACTGCCGCTATTAGCCAGCTCCATAGTCATCCATGTATGGAATATCAGGCTTGTCCTGCCTCAAAGACAAACTTGGCTCTGTTGGAGGCTCTGCAGGGCTGGGGAGTGGGTATCAAATCCAGCATGACCTGGAGAAATGCCCAAGTGTGTCAGAGAAACACATGACCCGTTATCCATCCTAACATGGTAAAATTGAAGAGGACAGCAGTCTTTCAGCACCTCTTTCCTCCCGTTATCTTATGCCCATAATGGATTAGAAGCAAGTAAATATGAGTGCAGAAAACAGATCACATCTGAACAGTTTCAGACTTACTTTTGTGGTGTTTATGTGTTTTGTAGCTCCTAAGAAATCTATTTCCAAAGAGATCTATGTCCAAAGAAGGATTGCTATCACTTGGATTATTACTCTGTTGTGAAAAGCAAATGCAAAACTTGTATTGTCTAACATCAAAACCATGTTATGTTGCCCTTGTGCTTGGAAGCAGCAGAGATTTTAAGATATTTCCAGTGACTTCAGGTGGATTTAGGTCATGAGCAGTTTGTCTGTGACCACAGATAAAAACAACAGCTGTAAGCAGTCTGTGCAGTGCTCCAGAGAGTTCCCGAGAACATTACCGGGGCAGTAAGTGCAGCGCACACAGGCCATGCCAGGAGCCCTTCAGAAATACAAGCTGTGGGCTTGGTTGTAGCCAGCACCTAGGCTTTAGATGCACGTTTTAAGAACTCGAGTTGTAGGGACTCAGAGCCCAGCGCTCTTCAGACGCCCGCGTTGCCCTGAAGCCTGCAGCCAGCAGAGCGCCCCCTGCCGCCCGCCCCGGAGCAGCGCCCAACCGCGAGACCGGTTTCCCGCCCTCCGCGGCCGCCGCGAGCCTCGACTGAGGCGGGCGCGGCCGCCGCCTTCCTACGGCACCCCGAGGCTTTCGAGATCTCCTAGTTCCACAGTAATACTTCCCCCGTCCTCCTTGGGCGGAACCGGCCCTTCTCTCGGGCCCCGCCTCGTCCTTGGCCTCCGCCAGGGGGCGCGGCGGCGGCGGCCGCGGCTCTTCCCTCAGGCGGGGCCGGGCGGGGCTCCGCGGGGCTGCGGCGCGGAGCTGAGGGCTCGAGGCGCGGTGCGGGGCGACCAGCGGCCGCGTAGCGCTGAGGAGGAGCACCTACCTGTGGCATGGGAAAAGTGAGTGAGTAGTTGCTTTCCCGGCTGCTTAGCGGGGTTTCGTCGGCACTTTGCTCTCTCGGTGCTGCTCTCGAGCTCCTGGCCCTCTGGTGACCCTCTGGTCTCGGCCATGAGGGCGGCTGGAGTGCTGAGGGCTTTATGCCGCCGCATAAAGCTCTTCTGTTCCCCGTCGCCTTGATATTCAGCTCTTTCTTTTCTTCTTTCTTTCTCTTCCTCCTCTTCCTTCTCTCCCTTCTTTCTCCCCCTTCCCCCTTTTTAAATATTAATTGGCATAACCCTTTGGGGAGCTGTTTTACCCACATATATCAGGATCTTTCAGTCATCAGCTTGTTAAATTCGCTCTCCATGCATGCACCTAGCCAAGGAACCTCTGCTCAGCCCGTGCCACCCTTGAGGTCCTGCTCGGTGTCTCTGTGGCCCCACAGAACACACATTCCTCTTAATTGGCCATGAAAGGTACATTATGATGTGGAGATGGAGCAGGGTGAGCTATGGGGGGAGGATTTTGCTGTCTGCTCTCATGTTCCCCTGGTTGCTAAGCAGTAGTGACCACAGTTGTGGGAAGATCGAAAAAGTGCATGGTGGACAGCGAGCAACAGGAATAGCTACAAAGGACAACAGCATGTTGCCACATCTGGCAGCCTTACTGTTGGGGAGTTCACATGGTAAATCAGAACCTGATGCATTCCTTGCACTTAGACACCGTGTTACCTTAACTTTACACTTTTGGCATTCCATCTTGTGCTTCAGAGGGAGCAAGGTGATTTTGTTTCTGTAGAAGTGGTAGTGGTGCAGAAATACTCCATGCTTTCCAAACAAAGGGTACTACTTTGACCTCAGTGTCTTGTTAAGAAAATAAACTTGGGAACAGCCCTTTTATTAAAGCATGTGTTTGTTTAGTGAAAAGTCATGTACGGGAAAGATTTTCCTCCAGAAAATAAGTGTCAGTACACTTCTCCCCTACATATGTATACCTACGTAAATAATGTGTCTTTTTTACCAACATGTCTTGTTTCTGGGACGCATTAAAAACACTTTTAATTTGGGGGCAGTGGAAAAGGCAAAGTTCAGTAGTGGAAGTGAAAACTGTGGGTTTTATTCCAGTGAAGCTTTAGAGCAAATACGTATGCATGAGAGTTAGGAAAATAAAGAAAATAAATACGCTTTAATACTTTGAAGATGAATTTATGTAATGATGTGTTTATCATCCGATATATATATAGCAAAACAGCACTATTATGGTGTGGATTTTCATATAGAATGAATGGCAGTTTTGATACTGCCATTTTTATGTGAGTATTGGGTGGCTAATGTCCTCTCACTTCTATCTGGACTGAAGATCTTTTTATTAGGATCTGATCAGTTGCATTGTTGTTCAACTAGCTGTTGGACACAAATACAAAGTAATCATCCTGTGTGTTGGGCTTCAGGGCTCCTTGGTGGTCCTGATGGGAAAGGGTGTGTCATGGTGGGGAGGCAGAGCCCAGCCATGGCATCATGCATGGAGCCTTTGGGCAGGTGGAAGCAGGCACTGGGTCCTACCTGGTTTGCCCAGTGCCAGGCTAGCTGTCAGGCAGACAGAGTGGTTTCAGGTCATTGCAGCCACACTCTGCCTCTTTCACATATGTATGTTAGGGATTTAAGAAGATAATTTCATCTAGGCTCTTGTTTTTACTTCTTTCTTACATATTTTTAAAAATATTGTGATCTTAATAATCTTTTGAAGGTACATAGTTAAGTTTGTGTGAATGTCAGTTTATGAAAACGCAAGATGTGAGTCAGGCTAATGCATTCATAGATACTTTCATGTGATTCCTAAGAAACACAAAAGCAAGAGTTTCCCTTTTCATTCTCAATAAATTCTCTCATAATTTAGTGTTTGCAGCTGAAGTTTGGCAGAGAGAAATGGAAATCAGTGTGATGGATTGTATTGATTTTTAATTACACTCATTAAAAGAAATGCAAAGTGTAGATAAATAGTATGGGGTGTGAACAAATTACTGGGCTTCTTAATCAATTTTGTTAATCTCAGGCTTTATTTCCAGCAGTACAGTATTGATATGGACATTTTCCTCTTCAGTATTATATTTTAATACTCATTTATTATGTTTGAAGTAGAGAGGAATCTTTGATGTAGTGTAGAAAAGATGGTAAATATGACGCTCTTTTTCGTGTAAGCATTTATTAATAATACATCGTTACTACTGATAAGCAGTGATAGCATGGAGAAGACATTCCGCTTTATTGCATTGCAAAGAAACATTGTATGCCTGGGCCCAATCCTTTAAGCACGTGTCCTCCTTTATTTTTTTATTGGGGCGTTGAGTTGGATGCCTAGTAATACAGCATGTCCTTTGGGAGTGCATACGTGCATACAGTGCAGAACGCACAGTGAGGAGGCTGGTATAATTTAATTTTCAAAAAGATTTTTCTCTTCTGTTGAAGTAAATTGTAGGCTCAGCTCAGGACAAGACCGTATTTATCAATAATAATCAGAGATGTCATGCTCCTTAGGGAGAGTTGAGTCATTCTTATTGTTGAACGTTTCAACCAGCACAACCACTCAACTCCAGGAGTAAATTTCCATTAATTATCTGGCTTCTGTTGTTAAGGCTTTTGTCACCGTTAACTATTTTATTTCCAGGTAGATAAACTCTTGCATTTCTAACTACAGGTTGTACATTCTCATACTGTGTAATGAGTTCAATAATGTATCTTAAAATCTTGGGAGAATTCCACTGTAGAAATTGAGCAGCAATGCAGAAATTGAAGTGAACAGCTAAACTGTCTTGCATGTTGTTGTTGCATTCTGGAAAAAAGAAAAAAAACAGCAGAAGTTTGAATGTATTTTGATAAGCTCAATACAGTTACTTCAGTAGAAATTCTGTCCAAATTAGACTTACTGGCTGAATGAAATTTT